GTACAGACCGAACGCAGTGAGGTCTGTACTGGCGACCTCGGTCAAGATTCTCCCATACAGACCTCCCGCTCGGTTAATAAGAACTAATTATCTTTATGTCGAATAAGATACATTGAGCACTTATCCTGTAAAAGCCCATCTTTATTTTATAACTTGACTGGAAAATCGCATTAACTAAGTAAGAAACCCTTCTTGCTCTGAATAGTAGCCTTCAGTCTTTTTTCACCGGCTTACCTTGCTGACAAACACTCATTAAATAACCTGGAGCTAAAGAAGAAAAACTTCGTTTCTTATCTTGAGTCATTATCAACCGGTTGAATATAACTAAATAGTTCATGAAATAAATTGCATTGTACTTGATTGATGTTATATCGATAGCTTCCGTTCTGATGGTGGAAACAAACAGTAACAGCCATGACGGTGGCATGACCAAAACAAGGTGAAGAAAATTCTGTTACAGGCAAAAAAAGTATCGACGAACCCTGCATGCTGTCCCATTTTAATTTTAACTGATTCACAGTTATTTTCAAGTTAGAAGGGTTACTTCAAAGTGAAGTAACTTCCATTTTGTTCCACTGCAGGCGCTCTTTGTTCAGAATATGAACATCACATTTGGAAACTATCGAAGGCCAGGAGCTATGAAGGTGGAAAAGTCGACAGATTTTGGCATCACTTTTACTCCGTGGCACTACCTGGTAACCTCTCCTGCAGCCCGTCAATGCAGTACACAGTTTGGTGTTGCTGCCTTCCAGGGAGTTATATCCCGTGTGGATCAAGTGTTATGTACAGAGTACGACCGTTATTTTCCACCAGAATATAATGAAACTGTGAGTAAACCACAGAATCCCCACTCCTCCCCCCTCGATATATAACTGGGTGCACTGTTTACCTTCCTAGCTGCCTTCAGGGCCGTAGCCAGACTTCAGAACAAGACGAGGCAAGTTTCGGGTCTGGCATGCCTCCCCCAGAAAATTTTGAAATCTAGAGGCTCAGAAATGCTCTTTCAAGCATTTTCCGTGGCACTTTTCTTTAGAAAAGTCCACCTTGGGCAAGTGTGGAAGTTCACTTTTTTATTGCCGAGCAATACTGGTGCAAAAAAAAAAAATGAAAAGGCCAAAATCAAGAAGAGGCAATTGCCTCGTCTTGCCTCATGCTAGCTACGGCCCTGGCCTTCTAAAATGCTTGGTAATGGAAATTATATCAGGTGTATCAGTAACGTCCAAGAGATTATAGAAAATCGTGGGAAGGTAATTTTTCTTATAATAGAATCATTTGATGAACGAAATTAGAGATGGAGATAGGGTTACATACAAAAAATCCGGATTTTTTTTAGAGTCAAACGGGATTTTTAGGACATTTAAGGATTTGTAGACGATTATGTCTCGAAAAATACAGCCGATAGCGTAAAAAAAAAATTTACGTGGTTCGTAGAACTTACTTTGCTGACTTTTCATTGTCTTTATCGTTTGTTTGAGCAACAAATATGTAAGGAGACAAACCAATAAAATTGTATTGTAAGGATATGATCCTTTTGAATCCGTCTGAAGGTGCTTCCATGCATTTCTACAACAGAAATCTCGCATTCTAGGCAAAATGTGTAATTATTAAATCGGGATTTTTAAAAAAATTTCGAGATTTCCGGACACATTCTTCCACCATTTTTCGGGATTTTTGTATCTTGCCTAAATGGAGATAAATGGAGTGAATAAATGACGATAAACAATAATAAACTCGAAACAGAATCCACACAGCTATACATCAAGGGTAAGTAATGAAGTAAATAAGAGTTAACATAATGAATATCCAAACATGAAAATAAATAAATGAATAGCTATGGCCGTTGTGTGTAGCTCTTCGCAATTCAGTGAAACTAGGTAAATTTTCCTTCCATTTCAGATACATATTGAAATCAATCAACAACAAAGAGGAGATGGTACGCCAGACCCTTATACGCCTGGTTTTCAGGTAATTTTCAACTTGAATCAAGAAAATTCTTTCTCCTTTTTTATCTTATTTTACAACGTATGCTTTCTTTTCTTTCTCCTGTATTTTAGGCCTGGATGAACGCAACTGCAGTTAGATTCACCTTTTCGGGATTGTTTAGAAAGTTTGATGTTATGGCAACAATGTGGGTGAGTTAACTTTTGCATCCACATATCATGTCAGAGGGTACTCAAGTGCTATTACGAATATTAACCCCGTGTAGGAGGGTTTGAAGGCCAAGAGTCATGTCTCCGAGGCTTTCGAAATTCTCAGAGATCTACACTTGTTAATGTTCCATTTGTCACCCTAACGCTATTGTTAGAAACGACAAAAATATCTAACTAATCCAGCTCTTGTAGACTTTACACTTCAACTTAGCTCTTAGCCCTGATCTAATCATTATACCATCGTTATTACCAACAACTGGGCTGTAGGACGTAATGAAGTTTTCAATTCCACAGCATCATTATACTGTACGTGAAATCGAACTGACTGGTCGGTGTGACTGTAATGGACATGGAGATGGCAATCGTTGTCCGCTCAACCAATCAACAGGCTTACGCGCCTGCCAGTGCGAGGGAAACACGTGTGGGGTCAACTGTGATACTTGTTGTCCGATGTTCAACCAGTTCGCTTGGAAGAAAGGCGGTGGAGCCCCATGGACCAATGACCCAAATACGAAGTGTGAACGTAAGTAAGCGGCTAAACTCAGAGAAAGAGTTGAACAACATTTCTACTGCAGGACCAAATTATAGCCAAACTTCCGATAGTACTCCGTTACGTTAAGATTTCCTAATTTTTCAAAACATATCCAAAATTCTGTAATTGCCATCATCTGATCTTCCGTTTTCACCTATCTTTGTTCAAGCCTGTAACTGCCACAATCACGCTGTCACCTGCACATACAACCAAACCGTGCGTGACCTGGGGCTGAGCAAAAGTATCAATGGATCAAGGATGGGTGGAGGAGTATGCCTTGATTGTCAGGTGTGTTCTTCAAAGCTCGAACACAACTACTGTACTCGGATCCAGTAGCGCTGATGTTTCCAACGATAGAAATGCAAAGAGTAAACGGCGATGTTTCTTTTTCTAAAAATTTTAAATAAATTGCCAACGGTTGTGGCGTTTGGGTCAAGAGCTTGCTTAGGCCATAAATGAATTAACAAGTCTAATTTCCTAGACAACAAAGGCGCAGTTTAATTTACTTTTGCCTGAAGCAATGAATATAAATTTATTTACTTAAGCATCACTGAAGCCAAAGATTAGACTGAGATTGAGGTAAGTCGTAATTTAAAGCTTGCAAGGGTTTTATTGATCGAATAATAAATGAGAGTAACTTCGGAGCTTTCAACTGAATGGCCTCTTAAAAAAGGTTTTATTCTAATAATGTGGTATAATCTGAATTCAGACTCGTCACTTATATATCATTTTAGTACAGTGATATTGCTATATGCAATAATTATTGTTGTAAAATAACACGATTAACTGAAGTTACCATCCAAGGAATCTATGAGCTCCAATTTTTGATGGTTCCAATCAAAATAACAGTTTATTCTAACAGTCCCAACATAAGAGCCACTCTAGTCAAAATCAGGATTAGCTTAACATGACTTTGAAGCCATTAAATCTCAATACATTACATAACTATGTCATGATGTCGAACTGGTACAACCATCACAATAACTAGGCCTATAGTTAGGCTTTCTATATATTCTGAAAAGTCACCTGCAAATTGTGACTACTATAAGTCTTATTAGCACCCTCTCACTAAAAAATACTGAAAGCGAAGTGGTTTTTGAAAAATTGGAAATTACAAGCTTCTGTGGGCAGTTTGTACTTGGTCATGCCTCATATGGTGGAGGTGGAGCAGAAGGGACACGATCTTCAATCGGGTTAAATCCGAGAACATTAATAATTCGCGGTCCCATATATTCTCTGGCAACCGGGGAAATGAATGTGGAAGATTCTATGGTTTGTCCTTGTTGCTCATTTGCTGTGTACGGCGGTGGAGCAGAACCTTCTTCTGAGTCGTTTGGAAAACTGCTGAGAGGGAAAGGGTTCGACGAATTGGCACCTACATGTACTTGTGTAGATGTCGAAGGCCCCCTTCGCTCCCCGTGCTGCTCATCCGCGGTGGAATTTGAGTCGTCGTCCAGTCTGCAGAAGCAGCTAAAAATACGCCTCGAGTAAACGATTACAAAAATAATATTTTTGCTCATGAAAACGGACACACTTCTGCCGTATCCTTGGAATAATCCCAAACGGAGTCCAAAGAATATCAGGTCAAGGAGTACTTGGATACCACAACTTAATAAATAAAGTGTTCTGTCGCGCTCCCTGATAAAATCAAAACCCACTTTTTCGGCGTCGCGGTCTAACAACGTTCCCAAAGGCCACCACATGAAACTCAGACAAGTAAAGGTAATAATTGCATTTTTGAAATCTTTCGAAATCTCCTGGTTGTACTGGCCTTCTTCTAACAGGACACCAAGTAGTTCGATTCCACCAAAAGCATTTATGGTGACCTTCGCTGTCCATTCGCAGACACGATTCGCATGAACAATCGGCTGACTTGATGCTATCCTTGTGTGCAGTGTTAGCAAGAGTAGAAATGGCGTTATGCAAAGAGTCATTATTAAAGTGCTGGCATTCCAGAATCCTCCACTTTCGATTTTGCCACTGATACGGCCGAAAACAATGCCGACCATGGGTACAATTCCCAACCAAACATACACAACCCAGAATAAAAGCACTTGGGAAAGTTCTCCATTATTGCTGTTGATAAACCACCAAATCGCCGCAGCGGGGATGTAAAATATCGAAGCTGTGTACCAGTCGCCATTATCTTCGTAGTACGCTGGATATTGAGCCAAGAAAAAGCACTGCAAGACCATTAGAGCAAAAAATGCAAAACGACCGACGACAATAAATAAGTCAGCCGTGGCCATTTTTACTACGATGCTTCATAGGACATTTAAGACCACAAGTTCATGACCTGAAGGAAGTGTTGTCTTGGAGACAAAGAAATGTTATTGAATGAAATGCCTAAACTGACAGATGGACCCTTGGCTTCAATTAAAAACCCACTATTGTGATAGCAAAAAAAAAAGAAAACCTAGACTGCGACCAATGAAATGTTGCGCCATACTAATTCAATATTGTCAATAATGTTCATTATTTGATAATAAAAATTAACGGTAAAAAACTACGACGTTTCGAAGTCTGCATGACCTCATTATCAAGTAAAATGTTAAAACTGATGTAAAATTGTAGCTCAGAGATTATATACAAATAAAATGTGATAACTTCATTAGAATAATGAGCGTTCATTGTTATTGGTGTTTAGCATGTCAGATCGTGCAGTATATGTTTAAATAAATACTTTTGCACGTATTGAGTCAGACTGCGTGTTTAGCTTTGGTTTTTGTTCGCGAATGAATAGCATTTCGTGAATTAGGCAGTCCATTTTTCCGCGGCATTTCTTGAGAACGGAAAACATTTCCTCTAGGCTAGTGGACGCTACACTGTGGGCTTCTTTCAGATGCTTGCCAATGACAGAGGCTTTATGTTCTTCTATGCGTTGATGAAGATGGCGTGTGGTATAACCGATATAATCCGCATCGCACGAATCACATTTAAAAGTGTAAACAACGCATTGGTGGTTAATTAAAGCGGGCTTCTCTTCTTGTATCTTGAGCTTTCCCTCGATCTTTGCCATCTTCATCAACGCATAGAAGAACATAAAGCCTCTGTCATTGGCAAGCATCTGAAAGAAGCCCACAGTGTAGCGTCCACTAGCCTAGAGGAAATGTTTTCCGTTCTCAAGAAATGCCGCGGAAAAATGGACTGCCTAATTCACGAAATGCTATTCATTCGCGAACAAAAACCAAAGCTAAACACGCAGTCTGACTCAATACGTGCAAAAGTATTTATTTAAACATATACTGCACGATCTGACATGCTAAACACCAATAACAATGAACGCTCATTATTCTAATGAAGTTATCACATTTTATTTGTATATAATCTCTGAGCTACAATTTTACATCAGTTTTAACATTTTACTTGATAATGAGGTCATGCAGACTTCGAAACGTCGTAGTTTTTTACCGTTAATTTTTATTATCAAATGTATTTCTAAACATTCTCTGATTAGAATGTTCATTATGACTGCCTTTTGCGCAATATTCGTCAAGCCCTTTCAACAAAAAGTATGCTAAAGAATTTCAACGACTAGCACTGGTTGAAATCCATCAATAGTTTCGCTCGTGGGAGATTGGTATAAAAGCAACAGCTGACAGAATGTCTCTTAGTTTGAAATAGCAGGCCATATTCCTCAGAAATTTTTAAACTTCACTCATGATACGAAGAAAGTTCTCGAGTAGGATTTAATTGACTATCAGAGAGCGTTCTGCCGCCCTTTATAAAAAAGTAAGAGACAAACTCTTTTGCTCATTAAGTCTTAGAAAATAATACTCAAAAGTCAGCATCTTATGTCGCACACGTTTTTGACGGTACGGTGTTTATAAGCGTTTGTCTCGCACGCTGCAAAATAATTCGGATAGCTTCACTCTTGGGAAACTGTTCGCTTCTCGTTATAACGGACAAATGTCTCAACATATGTTCGCACCAAATTGGACACTCTTGTTTTCAAGATCAAAACACAATGACCCATTGGACCAGACCCTAAGTTAACGGTTAACTCATAGATAATGTTCTCACACAACGAAAAGCTTATTGAGGTCATTCGTAGTTGAGATACTCAATGCAGAATCTTTCATTAATATTCAGGTCCCGCTAGTTTCTGTAAAGCCACAGCTGTTGTTAGGCTAACGCTCGAAACGTCAGCTTTTGTAATCGTTACGGTGGCCAATTTACCATTTCAACTTTGTTGATATATCCAAATTATGAAGTTTTCACGGTTCTATTTTTCTTTATTTCTTAGCATAACACACAAGGAATTAACTGTGAAAAGTGTAAGGACTACTTTTATCGACCAGTTGGAAAGAATACTACCGATGCTGACGCTTGCAGAGGTAAGAGATAAAGTAAATTGCTTTAGTATGTACGAAGTTATTTGACTGACGAGTTTAATCTGGGCTGAACGTTAGCGTTCAGTCTACACAGTTAACGTGAATAGTTTTCAAAGCAATCATGTTGTCCAACACTCAATGGTTTCAAAATCGTTGTGTCTCCTATTGTTTTATTCCTAAGTCGATTCTTTCATGCAATTGCTCAAAACGCTATAGAAAATATAACGCAACTTGATCATGACACTGCAGTTCACCAAATTACAGAAAATGAAGCTTAAAAGACTCCTCGGCTGAAAACCTCGTAAACATCTGTATGGTGCCGTATGGAGCCGTATGGTGCCGCATGGTGCCGCATGGTGCCGCATGGTGCCGCATGGTGCCGCATGGTGCCGCATGGTGCCGCATGGTGCCGCATGGTGCCGCATGGTGCCGCATGGTGCCGCATGGTGCCGCATGGTGCCGTATGGTGCCGTATGGTGCCGTATGGTGCCGTATGGTGCTGTATGGTGCCGTATGGTGCTGTATGGCGCTGTATGGTGCTGTATGGTGCTGTATCGTTAACATCTGTATGGTGCTGAACCGACTGAGCCACGAAGACATATGCTGAATGGGCGGCGGATCTTCTGTATAAATAACAAAACTTCTTCACTAACACTATTTATTTATACTTCCTATTTATACTCCTTCCTTTACTGCAGTTCTTCACTGGTAAGGATGAATTTTTCAGCGCTTCTGTGGGACAATTCATCGATAAAGCCATGTACGATAATGAAAGGGCAGCCGTATTTTTGAACACATGACCATGTCTGAAACTTGATTCATGATGTCATGTCTTCTTGGTGTCACAAATCTCCGAAAATTACCAAAATTTAAGAAGTTTGATAAACTTAATAATAAAAAAAAGGCTTTCTCAAGATCTTTTTTTGTTTTGTGTATGAATGAAACAAAAGGCCAACACGAAGGCTCCATTCCGTTTGAGCGCTATTCATTTTTAGAACAAGCAAAAGCAAAGATAACCTGATTGAAATCCCTCCTTCGTTGATGAACTTCCTATTTGTTAGAATTTCATTTGTGAAGGTGTAATCGGTGATGTATGTTTTATGGGGTTAATAAGTCTTAAATGTTTACCTGTTTCGATGTTTCGCCAGTTTTACTCTTTGGCAGGATATCCTGAAGGTACCAAATTTCAGTTCAAAGAGTGAATTGTCCCACAAAGAAATAGGTTAAAATTATCTGGAGATCCAACAGATTTTTCCTTTGGAGCGTTTTTTATGGCGTTATTCCTGTCAATCACACAACAAAATGCTATTAACAACTGACACATATCTTTCACATCATAAAGATCTATAAACAAGTCAATTATCTCCTCACAGATGTTTGAAGCTGTCTGTCAGTTCAGCTGGTACTTAACAATCTCATTGATTCACCCAACTGAAAATTTAAATCTTTTAATTGGAAGTTTGGTTTTGTCGTTTGAGAGAGTTCAAGGATAAGTTTGAACAAATGCCAGTTATGAGTAATAGCTGTGTAAAGTAGATTTCGAAGAACTTCAAACAACAGTTACTTTCTGGCCCGTAAATTCATCTTTTTTTTGCTAGCGGTTATCAGAGATGATTTTATGTATCCGTTAGAGATATTTTTGGAATGATTGTTCTTTTTTTTTAAGTAAACTTTGATCCTTAAATTTTACTCACTATACATTCTAATGAAACTTTTAACTTCACAAAAGCATTGTAAACTAGATGTTTTGAATTCTTTTCAATCAAAATGAAAACACATGAAAACCATTATTGCCTTTTTAGATACAAAACTAAACACCACATCTCACTCTGTCGGCTAAGTGAATGTCTTTTTTTCTTCCTCTTTTCGTCTTTTCCAAGTCACTGAGCTCAATTAATAATTTTTCGAAAAAAACCCATTCGAACTCAGCAAAATAGCTGACCATGTTAACAATAACTTGAGGGGAAATTTTGTTGGTAACAATTACAGCTGACATTCAGTAACAGCTTTTATAGCAGCCACCGTAAGTATCGCGAGATCTCCTAGACAGACCTCCACTTCCCTTTCCTTATCTTTTTTCTTGAGCACAGAAAAGTCTCATGACTTTTATAACAGTCTGAATTTCTGGTTAAGAGGTATTTACGTCTTCAATTTGGCGATTGTGAACGATCTTGACGGTGTTCGTGTCTACATCGACTATTTTGTCAGGATATGATGTGGAATTTGATAAAACGGTTCATTTTACTAAAAATTAGGCCCCTTATCAGTAGAGCTATATATAAAACTAAAATACTTTTACTATTGTCTAAAAAGAAATCGAAAAATATCGAGTAGACCTTCAAAATTACCCATAATTTTCCCCTCTACCTTTAGAATGTGACTGTAATAGAAATGGAACAGCAAATGTGTCAAGTTTGTCGTTTGGCGACTGTGTGCGAGATGAATACGAGTTGTCGAAACATTGGGAAAAGGTATTATCTACTAAACTTTATTATGACTTGAAAAATGTACACTAACTACTTTTGACCACATTCTTTGGTAATAAGAGGTAGTTGAAAAACTAAACACTTTAGGCAGTAAATGGTTTGAACCCGGGTGTAACATGTGAAGGTGTAGTCTGATCATCCGGGTGAGTGTAGTCCTGAGAAGGACTGTTGTCGGTGGTAGTGACTGACGTTTCGACAACCTG